TTAATTATTGATTTACGATGATACTTGAATTCACTGGTATTGTAGAAAACGAGAACACAAATGAGAACAAGCGAATGTGATTAAACACAAAGTTACAAAACATTCTGATAAAATCTGAGAACCACACAATGAAGACTTAATTTGCAATATTCCAACCAATTGTCACAAAGTGGGCTGTTCCTTTTGCAAATATTAGTTGATCGTCTCAGACTTCATTGTCCCTGTATTTTCATACCAATTGCTTTTTGTTCGCATTCTTTCCTCCTAGATCTTCTTGACATTTTGTTGACAGATATTCTATTCCTGACTAGAGTTAGATACTACTTATGCCGATACAAGTAGCACATACCGCACTATGACTATAGACCTCACTTCCTAAGTTATACCATTAGAAATAATTGAAATATTCTACCGGAAAGAATTTCTTTTTTTAGACCCTCATATTATCATCTTTGATTTCTAAATACTGATTGAATAATTCGTACATATTGTATCATTTGTAAAGTGGAAATCCATTAGACTGAAACATCAAATGAATGAACTTGTTTGTAGTGTCGGCTGTTATTGTTAAGCCAATATACCTTATTCTAGCTTTCGGGCAGCCCAAATTATTTATTCTACATTAGTTATATTTTGACCTTGTTGATTTTTCGCTTACCAATCTTGACTGCTTTTATATGAGCGTATAGTATATGTGTGTACATTTCTTATCCTATTCATCACATTTCTGTAACTTATTTTATGTCACTATAAATATTGATTAGCGCTTGACTGAAAGGGGAGTTGGCTTACCCGCCATCTCCACTACGCGTCGTTTCGCTTCTCTCTATTCCATTCGCTTCATATACAAAATATATGTATTCAAAAGTCCATTCTCGTTATTTGACTTATTTAATTCCGTTATTGACTAACTCGATTTAAGTCGATGATTATATACGAGGACGGGTGATAACATTCATACTATCTACTTAGAGTCAGATCTCGGGCCACTAAAAGGGAGAGCCTGTTAACAACATCGTCCGATCTAAATGACGACAAAATAAAGGGCCCCACTAAATGTTAACTATTGTAATGAGTATAAGTTTAGTCATTTTAGTTACTTGGTATATTACTGTTTAATCTTAAATCTTCTTACAATTAACTAATCATCACTTTTCATGGAAGGTTGCACTATTAAAGTCTAATTTTCCAACACAAAAATTAGATTGAAAATAAATACTATAACTTCATGCTTTTAGAAATTCTCATTTGAATAATCTAAAGACACATTGAACTTGTTTAAACAGTAAGTATACAAATAATTATTGTCAATGATAGGTTTCGTTGTGAAGTTTCGGAAAGACTTAACCAAATCAGTAACATTCATAATGAAAAAATATTCATTGCCTAAACGGACTTGACTAAGTCAAGTGGTAAAATTAAGTTCAATGATTACAAAACTTGTATGTTTGTATTGCAGGTATTATTTCTTTTTTATTGGCTGGAAGATTTGGTTGGCTTTGAGGTATCTATTTAACGGATTCTTGATTGAAGTGCCAGGTTTCTAAATATTCTCTCTTATTCTTTGTGTTTCCTCCACTCAATGTTTGGACGTTTTCCTAGTCAAACGCATGTCTACATCAGTTAATATGAGCAAAGCTATGTTATGCCGTTTAACAGCTAACAGGTGTTTACATAGACAAAGAGGGTGTCTACCTTGTCACATATATAGTATTTGTTGCAGTTGTTTTAATTCACTTTGCAGATGTTGTTTGGCTTATCTTTGATCGTCATTATTTCCTTTAGTTTATATAGCATTATTTGCAAACATTGTGTCAGGTTATAGGCCACACTTGTTTCTAGTGGTCTTAATTATTTATTTGTAACCTCGGAGACGTTCTGTGTGTTGTGTAAAAACTATCTGTTTGTTGATTATGTATTTGGTCGTCAGTTTGATCAACATTTACTAATGAAATTTTGCGGACAGACATTTTTTAGATAAATCCATTAGATATTGTACTTCATTTCTCCACGTAATGGCGGTCGATAACAATACAAGAAGACTGGAGACTCAAGTGTATCGAATACTCACTTAAGATAGCAACAACCAAACGGCTCACAAAATAGACTGTATACAAACACTATCCAAAAGATTAAAAACGTAACTCAACACAGCCATTATACAGAAAAAAGGAGGTAAAGTAACTGAGTTATTAACTGTAAGTAATAGTTGATTTTCAAACCAATTCCTTTTATTCTAATTTATTTTAAGAGGTGTTCAAACATCCGCAGTGAACCAATAAATGAGGCCTTCCAAAATATCAGGCAACACATTTAACTACTTGCGAGTAGTTACAGTGAATAACGACAATAATCTAAGTTGAATGTTAGTGTCTAACATGCAATTTAAACTTACAAGTCAACATTAGTTGTAAATATAAATGACATTTATTTCATATTTGTTTTAAACAGACTGATCATCAAAAATTATGTTAACTTACTGGGTACTCTCAAATGACATTGGTTTGAGTGGATGATATGGTGTACATAATGATTGAGTGAAGGAGCACTATAGAACATTTTCAATTTTTCCAATAAGAATGGATTTGATTCACGTTTACTCTTAGTTACCCCATAAATAAGTTTCCATGAGTGCGACCAAGAAAATGTTGGGGATTCTTTCAGCAGCTACTTAAACAGCTTTGTATATTCATGTATACTACCTACTGATTGTCATGTCATAACTTTATTTCTTTGTCCGGTCAGGAAATGAAGTGAAGCCAATGTAGAAGTATCGATTTCATAATTTGCCATCTTTTATGAGACCTGTGAAGAAGATTGATATACAGTCTTATGAATGAATTTTGGTAAATAAAATATCTAGATTGATCACTTAAGCTCTACTTGTGTTTAAAAACTTTTTCACCGGTAAATACCTACTTTAGACTAGTTGGGTTCATTGAATTAGTATGTGACTTAAAATTGTAATCATCGTTTCATGTATTGCTCAAGTTCAATAATTTATAAAATCTTCTCCTTAAATTTATTTAATTCATGATATGCAACACCACTTAACTTCCCATTATCACTTCGTATCAATAATGGTTAATAGTGAAATCCAAAATACGCTTTTCATTCTATTGAATACTTATGGTCTCGATACTATTTTTGAATGAATGTTGGACTGTTTATGGGTAATTTAGAGTCAAGAAGCCTATTTACTAACAAATACTAGTTAAATACAAACCTGAATTTGGTGGAGTTTCGTTCTCTGAGCTGGATGGTTTGGTCGTGGAACTTTCATCGTTCTTCTGAACGACATCATCAGCACAAACTTCATATAGAAGTGAAGTGTTTGAATTTCTCCATATGTGTCTCAAAGCTTGTTCTGTGCACCTCGACGTTGATTGGTTCTTATTGACCTTAAATTTGTCGTTGTTTACTTTTTACAAAGAACAACATACAACTTACAACATAAAATTGTTGTAAAAATTGTTGGGAACATAACCGCTTACTGAATGTAAATAAGTAGTATAAAACAATATACGAAGGAGTGGAAAAGAAGCGAGTAGGAACAATGTAAGACAAACTTAACAATAAGAAACAACAAAAATAACAGATATTAGGAAGATGACCATTTATTTTATTAATTTAATAATTGAGTTCATAAGTCAATTGAGGCTAGACCACCATGAAAAACCTGAAAGCACTGAACGGCCGTTTCGTCCTGGTATGGCACTCCTCAACAGTGCGCTGACAAGATTAATCATTAGAAATAATTATAACTGGAATCTTGTAATTATTCTAACAGAATTCTTACGCTTTAATCCAAACCAAGATAACGTCAACTTACTTCTTGCCATAGTTTATGTACAGTCTCTTTTCAACCTTAATCATTTCATTAATAAACAAACAAATAAACAAACCATAATGAGATAATCTAATTTTAGTCGAAGAAAACACAATTGAAATGATAGGTATTAAGGAATTACACTATACATATTTGTTGCATAGATTTTGTTGGATCGGCTTCCGGAGAACTTCAACGGAGCCTCCAGAGGCCCAAAAGGGAGCCGAAGGGCCCCAGCCAATCAGAGTATGATGGAACGTTCGAGAATTCCAGCGTGGCGTGCTACCATTGGTCGGTAGCATAATATGACGTTAACGGATTGGCTGAAATATGATGTTGATTTAACAGACGCCAACATCTATAAATACCCTTGATTTTCTGTACTGAAAGGAACCTTGGGATAAAGTGTTTTCTCTCATACTTGTGTCTTCTTTCTGGAGTTCAAGTCGCTGTGTAGTTCTAGTCTGCGGGTTACGGGAATAGCTTAGGATTCGTATATAGCGTTCAACCTACACGACTTATCAGATTTTTTTTGTAATTCCCAGAAATTTAAATTATTACGTATGGGCTAAAATTTGAGTAAACAACGAAAAAAAATAAACATTCAATAGATTTTGTTTTAAAAGTATGTTTCTTTTCTTCTTTTTTTTATTTCTGTCAACTTGACTATACTATTTGAAATGAAATCTAATGTCAACACATTTTATCTATCTACTTACAATCTGTCTATCATAGTTTGTTAAGTATTGTATTGTTGTTTATTTATTTATTCGTTTGTTTGTTTGTTTGTTTTTCTTAACCCTACTCCACTTATATACTTCTAGTTTCATTTTTATACTGTTTTACACAGTATACATTATTTGTTGATATTTTCTTTTGAATAATTATTTAAACAAGGATCATAAGGATATTGATTCATATAACTATGCATATAAACACACAAAATACATATTATGAAATATATGTATCTATCATTAATAATTCATTTATATATATAAGTTAATAATGGAAGTTATCAATGTTCTTTATAATGCTTCAATTGCTGGTAAGTAAATAGAGAACTTCCACATTAATATACATCTAACTGCTGACAAATGCACGCACACACACACACAGACATAAATAAAGAAATAATTGAAAACTTTTAATTTTTTTCTCTTGAAATGAATCATTACAAGGAAATATCATGATAATAATAATAATAATAGTTACAAGTAGTAGTAGTAGTAGTAGTAGTAGTAGTAGTAGTAGTAGTAGTAGTAGTGGTAGTAGTAGTAGTAGTAGTGGTAGTAGTAGTAGTAGTAGTAGTAGTAGTAGTAGTAGTAGTAGTAGTAGTAGTAGTAGTAGTAGTAGTAGTAGTAGTAGTAGTAGTAGTAGTAGTAGTAGTAGTAGTAGTAGTAGTAGTAGTAGTAGTAGTAGTAGTAGTAGTAGTAGTAGTAGTAGTAGTAGTAGTAGTAGTAGTAGTAGTAGTAGTAGTAGTAGTAGTAGTAGTAGTAGTAGTAGTAGTAGTAGTAGTAGTAGTAGTAGTAGTAGTAAAGTGAACACGAACACGAGTGGAGGACTTGTTCAGAAAATCTAACAATCAAATAGTAAATAAGTAATTTGCAAAATGTCCATCAATTGTCTCATAATGACTCAGACTTCATTGTTCTTGCATTTTCATACTAATTGCATTCTATTTCCATTCTTTACTGTTCGATCCTCTTGTCTCTCTGTTGCCAGACATTCTGTTCACAACTAACATCATATACTACTTATGTCAAGATAAGCAACAGTAGTGATTGATGTTAAAAAATTACAAATTGATTGAAATCAGTGAAATAATGAAAATTTGGAAAAGAAAATTTTTTTTCGTTTAAATTATTTTCTTTTTTAAAAGAAAAAAAATATTGTGGAATTTATGTTGTGAAGGAAAATGTTCTTCTCTTTCAAAAAGAAGGTTAAGTAAGATCATGTATTTTTGTAGTACAACAAACTATTTGATTGTCAGGTATATTTTGTAATATTTGCTCACTTTTTTTTATAAAAAAGAACGTTGTTCTGTTTTTTTCTTTGTAATGGATTAAACATTGTCTTTTGATTTTCAATTGAATGACATTTATTTTAGTCTAAAAAAAAGTGTTAAGTGTCAGTAAATGAGAAATAGGAGGAGAAAATATCTATAGTCCGAAAGTAAAATTATAATCAGAATGAATTTAATGTTTGTGTTTAGAAAAAATACACAGATTACTTGTTATAGTTGAATAATATATAATAATTCCAATGGTTGAAATCATGAGTTCATTGAAGCCAAACCACCATGGATAACCTGGAAACACTGGATGGCCGTTTCGGACTATTATGTGACTCCTCAGCCGTGTGCATCCTTGATCCCTCCTCGAGAGATTCGAACCTAGGACCTACTGAACTCGCGCGTGAGCGCTTAACCACTAGACTATTAACCCGGCATCCAGCGGTGTTAATGTCTAACTTCAACTAATCCACGAAATTGAGTGACACATCCACCAATGTCTTCAGTGAGTTACCATCTCATGTGAGACCTGGTTGAACTTCACTGGCCACTGATTGATTTTGTATTGTATATTTGAATCTTTTCATTGATGTTTAGGAGTCCTGGAGTGAACATCAACTATAGGATGAGTGGTATATCTATCTGATGAGTCCCTATTAGGACAAAATGTGAGTCTTGAATTTCACTATTAGCCACTATCTATCTCTGCTTATTAATCGGACCTACCAGTCTCGCGCGTGATCGCTTAACCACTAGACCATTGAGCCGGAATTCAACGGTGTCAATGTCTACCTTCAACTAACCCACGAGGTTGAGCGACACAAACGATTGAATAGTTTTTCAATAGTTCATTAATCTAATACTGTTACTTTTTGTTATGAAAATAAACAATTTATCTTATCAGTGTCCAATATTTCAATGGAAAGATTAAGTATTTTTCCATTGAAATGTGTCAATCAGCTAATGAATTCATAAAATTATTTTAGTATGAAAAATATGAGTAAACTGACATTGATTGATCCAATTTATTAGCACAAAAGGATCGAGGAATTTTTCAGGGAAAACAAGAATCTGGATGAAAAAAGCGGTTGGTAACTTATGTTTCTTTTTTCATTCAAACATTGAAGGGCGGAGAGAAAACGAGTATTTCATGCTAATATAACAGTGTAAGAGTTGAATAAATTATTTAGGATTTTTAAATCAAGTTTTATTTTGATGTCTCTTATAATGAGTAAAATATGTTTAGATTAAAATTAACAATCTCAGTTATATTCAGTAACATAGATCAAATGAATATTTTCTAGGACGTAGCTTATCAAACGAGGATCCATGTTCTTTTCAAATTCAAAGAATATATGCGACTTATTAACGTGTGACAAATTAACACTCAGTTAATGTGATTATAATAAAAAGTGAAGTAGTTAAGTATTCAGGGAAATCTTGGCACATAAGTACAAAAAAATTCTGATCTCAAAACTTGAGGATCCTAGACTTAATCTGCTATGGGGTCTACGGTCTGCTGAAATGTGTTAAACTATGGCAAGACAGATATGTAGTGCTTGAAATATATTCCATTAGTTCAGCATTTGATGTCAACAATTCATGACATCTATTACGAATTTGAACTAATTCCCATAAACTACGGGTTCAAACAAATGAATATTTACCACCGTCGTTAGTATTTATAGTTGAGGAATATTTATTTTATTAACTAGTAAGTAAATATCCTATTAATACATATTAGATAACAATCTGCATGATTTGACCGAATAGATTGAATACATTTATCGTTTGTTTGCAGAGAATAACAACACAATGTATTTTGAATAATGAGTAGCATTGTAATCATAGGTTTGGATTTCTTACTATTCTGTGCATCTAAAATTGATGCATCCGAATCTCAATGTTAACGCGAGCCCAGTATCTATCTTTGAATGACCAGATAGGCTACTGTGTAACGATAATCATCGACTTATTCAAAAGGTGTGGTACTTATTATTAATATCAATGGAATGTATTTTTTCTGTTGTTAGTGTTAAGAAGTGTCATTATCAAGGTTTGAACTTGACCACTTTAAATAAATTGAATATTGAGTAGATTTTTGATGATAAAACTATTATATTTGTAAAGTTCCAATCAGTAGAATAATAGATTTCTGACATTTAGTAACTTAGTGTAAGTCATTTCATCAGAGAATAAAGATAAATAACAAGTTAACACAAGCTTATATAGTATAAAGGACAGAATACGTTACACAACGTCATAAACCTAATTTTCTACTCATTAGGACTTCACAAATACACTACTTCTATTATAGAGTTTGTTCAGTTTTGTCTATTATATGAACTGTTTGAACGGTTAACTTGATATTACAAATGAAATGAAAAAGTGTATACTTCATCCCACTACTAATGATTATCTAAAATATAATCAAATTGTAAATGTATTCACTATTAAAATATTTGTTTAAAGAGTCTCCATACCAGGAAATACAGATCATAATCATTAATAGTGGTCAGTCAGTCAGTCAGTCATCTACAACGTAGGACCAGGCACATATATGCATCGGTCCAAGTTGCCATACCGCATAAGCACAACAAGATGAACACCGGATCCATAGAACTAGTTACTTCAGTGGTAGTAATATATAAAAGAAAGATTGCATATAATGATATAGTACAGAAAGAAAGAATTAGTTCGTAGAAAGAAAGATATAAAGCGATTTTACTCACATAGTTTAAGGAAGGACAAAGAGTGTATACACCTACATCATTGTGATCGATTCTGAACCATGTCACGGACAGTCTTCAACCATTGGTTACGATAGTCACGTGGACCCCAACCATGTAGTCTGCATCTACCAACATGGCTCATACCAGAAGTTAGTAACTTTAAGCACTGATGCCACGTTTTGGTATGGCCTCCCCTAACTATTAATGTGGGAACAAGATCTATTTGATCTATAAGACGTTAATGTAAAAACTGGGCAAAAAATTACTCCACGTAAACAATCTACATGTAAACTGTTTGTTTATTTAAAAATAAAATATAAACAAATAATTCATAACATATTAATGAAAATTTTTAAGGATACCGCTTACTGTACACATAGGATGATATCATATTTGGAATAGAACTATCGGAACTAAATGCCAGAAACGGTTAAACTTAGATGTAATGACTATAATTTCATCAAGCAAAGTGGTAATGAGTATAACTTTGGTTAACAATCACTGATTGATTTATGTATATAGTTTAGACTCCATGTTACTATTCAATAAATTAAATGATACATTTGGAATACAAATGAAGGTGAAACACATTCAGGGATTCATAATTATACGCTTTGATAGTTTACTGCTATTTGATTTTTATCAAAATGTATCAATTTGAAGGAAACTTTTAACGATTCATTTAGGAGAGTCTTAATTTCCTATTCATAATCATCGCTCTTTACGGATTATAAACCAGTAGTTTTCCTTTCACTGAAAGATTACACAGTGTTTCTATATTTGTTTAAATCTAACGGTTGATATTCTGATTAAATCCATTAAATTAATCCAAGTGTATTTGTTCAGTTATTTATTCATTTATGACTTTTAGGCATATAATTAAAATCAGTGTCTAAAATATATATATACCCACATTGTTGAAGCAATTTTTTCAGGTATTTAAACGGTAAAATAATGTAAAGTGAAAGAATGGATTTGTAAAATCTCAGCCAATGAATTTGAAGTAAATCCAACGTTTCTCCTGGCATTCTGGTCTAAGCTTGTTCGAAGAAATATAATCAAACAGCAAAATACCTACTTTAAACATTGTCAACGTTGATTGGATGACTTATTCAGTATACAGTAAACCGGAGAACCATGTACCTATTTATATTCGATCATTTTGGTGTTTGATTATATTTCCTTGAAAACGCTTGAATCAGATTGCCAGGCGGAACGTTGGATTTACTTCGAATTCTTTCGCTGAGATTTGACAAATATGTTTTTCCGTTTTGATGTCTCGCATTAACTCGGCGCCCAAATACTGTAAAACTATTCGATGAAATTTAGACGAAAGTTTTTAGGTAAAATAATTTTATTAACGTTCTATTAACGTCTAGAGGTTAAGCGTTCGCTCGCAATACCGAAGGCCCTGGGTCCAGATCCCGCGGATGGAATCGTGGATGTACACTTCTGATGAGTCCTACAATAAGACGAAACGGCCGTCCAGTGCATCCAGGTTTTCCATGGTGGTCTAACTTCAATGGACTCATGATCTCAACCATTGAAATTACTATAATAGCCACAAAAACCCTACTGGTATTCAATAGTATTCACACGTTAAATAGTATATAATTTCATTACATTTGAATTATGGGATAAGAAAACAATATTGCAGTGAATGAGTAATCAGCTGAAGAAAATCAACTTATTGTTTAACTTCAAAATCATATAGTGGATAAGTAAGATATGAAATTCGTACGTTAAATACATCATTTACACATCTTCGCGTTATCATTTAGATATCCTATTATTCCTGCAATTCTTTTGTTATCGCGATCGCTCTTCAATTTCTTTCTCATTCTCTACATTGCAATCTTCTGCTGCTACGCATTTCATTTTCGATTAGTGCTACATACTACTTATATCTGCCTGTATAAGTAGCATGTACCACAGTATAATTTTATTTATTTATTTGTTTGTTTTTGTACTAACGATAATCATGAAATATTTTACTAGGAATCTCTACAAAATGTCATTTTAATTAGTGTCTACATATGAAAATTTATCAAGCAAAAATATGTCAAATCTTTATGTTATCATATTTAAGTTTATACTGATTAAAGATTCGTTCGAATGAATACCAGAAAGAAAACTTACTATTAGGATGTGATTATGTTTTTAGTTACTGGACCGGAATCGGTTCATTTTTTTGTCTTACTATACTGTGTTTTGATGTACAATTCGATTATGAGATGGATTTAAGTTAAATCTATAGTTCGAAGCTTGATTGAAAATGAAAGGAGAATTTTTTTTTTAATTTTTATGCTTATTCACGCTTTATTAAAGTTTGAGATTTCTCTACTTTATATAATGAATAGGTGATAGATCAAGATCATGGTTTAATTATCTTAGTTGTATGAGCTTATTCATGCTGATATATAAAATTAACACGATTACGTAGTCATTCTGATAGTAAGGCAAACATTTTTTTCAATATTATTGGTTAAGTTCATTCATAATTGTTTGAACAATTATTTGAAGATGTTTAGAAATATTTGTAGCACTATAAACACAAGTGCAAATTGTATTATCTTATCCTTATCACTAAACGAATAGATAAATAGTAAAGTCTAAATCACTAAATCATCTTAGTAAGAACACCACTAAAATGCCAGAAGCACTGGATAAGTATTTCAACCTATCCTAAAACTCCACAGCATTGAACATATAATGCCGCGCCACAGGAAATCGAATTCACAAACTTTAGTATTGAGAAAGAACGCTTAATTTCTAGATCACTGTGTCGAAACCCAGTTGTGCACATGTCTAACTTCAATTAATTCATAATGTTGTTTCATTATCTTGCTTTGCATTTGGATTATGGCTGTTTCACACCCGAAAGGGTTGAACTCCAAAGATCAAAGGTTTACAGCAGAACTTCAGAAGTGATATCTTTAAGCTAGTCGGTGAGCAGATGATGATTACCAGTATACGGGATTTGTAGAGATTGAAGGAATCCATAGTTTGAATCACAAACTGATCCCGGTTAGACCACCATAGGTGAGTGAGATCAAAGTCCCTGGGTTCGATTTCCGATGACGAGGTTGTAGATGCCCATCACTGTGGACCCAAAGTTAGTATGAGATCATCGTCCAATGCTTTCAGGCTTCCATTGGTGGTCTAGCTAAAACTAGTTCGTATGAACTTTTTATGATCTCCAAAAATCCCCATATACCAAAGGCTATAAAGTAGCAAATTCAGTCACTCCGTCGAAAAAGCGTCAATTCAAATTATATTGACTAAGATCCTGCAGACAGCCAGTAACTCGGTCTAAAATAAAGATAATTTCTAGAAATCAGCGCATTTTTTTACAAATCAGTAAGTCAGTAGTCTGGGACATACCAACAATTAACTCCACTCGTGAATTAGTAGCTCATAGTTTATTTTCGTCCATATTTCGAGACCATCATCAACAACACTAATAAATCATGGTAAGAGAAATGATAAGAACATCATAAGCATACGTAACCGTAAATCCTCTATCTCCCTATTTGCTGTATAACCAAACCATTAGCTATAGTTCAACAACAGCAAAAATGATAAGTGGGCATCAAACACTCTCACTTGATTTATTTCTTGAAAACAAAACATATCAGCCATAAACTTGAGTGACATCACCTGAAGAGAATTACTTAGTAAATTGAGTCTTAGATTATTGACTGATAGTTCTATTATTAATTGGATATACCGACACTATAGTTATAGTATTAGCATTACATCAAAATTTGTAACCATCTAGCTCCAAGAGCTGTTTCTACTAAATTCTAGGAATATTACTGCATCAACAACTTATTCATTTACTATTAAAGTGGAGTAGTAGTGGCCGCGAAAATTTTCTGGAATATTCATGTGAATATTTTACGTACTTAAATGTTATTAAATAGTTTGTTATTTTATTGCTAATTTTTTCAGGAAGTGTATTGCAATATTTAATTACAAGTATTGATTCATATAGTAGTGATCGAGAAATTCAATTTTAAATGATTTATTTTGTAACAAAGCGGAGTAATTCAAGAGATTTTCGGAGCCTCAAAATAGTAGAAAATGATCTGATTTTAACTCATTACTTCTTAACAGCATATGTTATACGCTTCGTCTATATAAAATGTAAAGAATAAGGTGCTTATATACACAGTTTTTTTACTGATATTTTCAGAAGTTAGCTTAATGGATGGCTTCCTAAAGTTTGCCCCAACCATTCAGCTTCAAACAATTTGTCAATTAGCATCAAATTACTTGCCTTAACTAACACATCATAAACTACCAGTATGGGGTTGTGGAGAATATTAAATTTTTGATTGAGATTATGAACTGATTGATGTTAGACCACCATTGAAATCCTGGAAGCATTGAACGGCCGTTTCGCCCTACTGTTGGACTCCTCAACGGTGCGCATCCACAATCACTCCCGCAAAATTCGAACTCAGGACCTTCGGTCTCTCATGCAAACGCTTAACCTCCAGACCACTGAACCTGCATCCAATGGCGTTGATGTCTAACCACAACCAATCCACGAAATTGCGCGACCATCTTCCATTCTACTTAGGTAGATACCTGTCTTTACCCAACACGCATGGGCTCCAATGGTCACGGCTCCTCACTAGAACTCATAAACTACACTGAAAATTTTGAATATACACAACTGACTGTCACTTGATTTCGATTATTTCACATTGACGTTATTATTTATCGAAGACTGCCTTTTTTATTTAGTTTTTTTCAGTAGACTTACTTTTCTGAACTTATAAATGATAAAGTAATATTGCCTAACTGGTCAATGGGTAATAAACAATATGATCTTTGTCTTGTCCTTAGTGCTAATCCACTTCTATCAATCGAACTACAATATACCAGGCAGACCAAGTAATTTGATTTAGTTATGCATTTTGTTTAATATTGACTAACACTGAATGAAATTGGTTTCAAGTTTACACGAAGTATCCATTCCTTTAAGATTGTAGACACATTATACGGACAAGTACCAAGTAGGAGACAGCCTAAAATAAGATCTTCCTGCTGACTACCTTCAGGTACCCTATAATTAATCAATACATATTAAAATGAGAGGGTATAAACGTTTTAAATACTTTCTATAAGATGAAAGAAGAGTATCAACAATTAAAATAAAACATCAAAAGATTTTACGCCAATACAAAAATAACTTTTCCCTTTTCAAAAAATAAAAAATAAAAAATTAGACGGGTAACAACAAATACATTTTGATATATTTCTAATAGTTATAGAGAAGATGAAAAACGAAATACTATCGAGGGAGAGAAAGAGGGGGGAGAGAGGGAGAGAGAGAGAGAAACAAAAAAATGTATTTAACAATAAATTGTCATCAAAAAT